TATATATACACACACACACATCATGAAATTCTGCAGCTTTTCTTACCCGATTATGTCTCATACTGAGGATTAGCACAGAACTACAGACCAACACCAATGCTGAAGTTCCACTTTTTTGATTCATTTCTTAACAGTGAATACAGTCCTATTTCACTCAGTGAACTTGACAACCAAAGTTGCTTTTCCTGTGTCCAATTCTACAGTCATGCCTGACCATTTCCCGTTAACTTTTAATTCCTTGTGTTCACTAAAATATCAGCCAGAAATAACAAAATGTTCATACTCATCACAGTCAATCAAGGATTCATTTACTGTGTATGCGCCTATATGTGCAACCTTTGTTTCAAGGACAGATGGTCGGGTTGCATTCCTCAGTTCTTCTGATTCCACAGTTCTAGCACTGATCACATATGACCCATTTTCAGTAACCTAATGAACCAGGTTATGAGAGACACCTCCCTTTCCTTCTTCCTTGCTCTGAAGACTCCCCAACGTAAGCAGTTTCGATAGAGAGTATTTCCTAATTTCATGGCACTTTGAGCTGGGCACAGAGAAAGACCCCATATCCATCTTCAATCTTAGATCCTTCGCTTTCTTTGCATTGCAGCTTGAAGTTTATGGTTCTTATTCTCTCCTCTTGCCTTCTGAGCATTATAAGAAATACAAGATGCAACTTTTTAAAAATTAATTAATTGCATAAATGTTCAAAATCTAAACTAATTTCTGAGTCACTGCTACTCTGTCAGTTTGAAACCTTTGTGTTTGATATGTACAGTAGCTTTATTTACACAGTCAAGACCTGGCCTTAGAAAAACAAGGGGTTCTTGAGTCTTTAAGCCCAAAAGGTGTTTGTGTCACAGTGGATATTGGAAGGTCTTGAAGGTGGCTAGCATGCTTAACAAGCATAGTTTCTTTGCTCTGTGCCCAGAAAGTCATGGTAAATATTCTCAAACACTCTCCAGCTTTCTATACTATTTGTGTTCTCAAATGGACATTTTGTTTACTTCTATTGGTGTTTTATTGTATGTTTTTGACTATAAAAAGTTTTCAGTTGTGGGGACCAGAAAGAGGGCTCAGTGTTAAAGAACACTTGCTGTTCTTGCAGAGGAACTGGATTTGGTCCCTGGTACTCACATGGTGACTGCAGTTACCTGTAACTCCAGTTACAGTGATACCGATTCCTTCTTATAGCCATTCCAGGCACTGAATTCCCATAGTGAACACATAGATGAAGGCAAAAAATTCATATATACAAAATAAAAATATATAAATAAACACATATTTTTTGTTTTTGTTTTTTCATTTCATTATTTTATTTATTTATTTATTAAAGATTTCTGTCTCTTCCCCACCACCGCCTCCCATTTCCCTCTCCCTCCCCCAGTCAAGTCCCCCTCCCTCATGAGCCCAAAGAGCAATCAGTACTACTCAGCAGTAAAAAACAAGGACTTCTTGAATTTTGCATACAAATGGATGGAAATAGAAAACACTATCCTGAGCGAGGTAACCCAGACCCAAAAAGATGAACATGGGATGTATTCACTCATACTTGGTTTCTAGCCATAAACAAAGGACATTGAGCCTATAATTAGTGATCCTAGAGAAGCTAAATAAGGAGAACCCAAAGAAAAACATATAAACACATATTTTTAAAGATAAATTTTTATTTCACCATAAATTTTCATTTCATAGATAAATGCCAAGTATAAATAAGACTTTTGAGATTTTAATAAAATATAGTTTCTAAGTATGTTTTGAGATGATAGAATGCTGTCCCATCTCCTAATATGATTCCACAAGTAGGAGATGGAAGGTTTAGCATTCCAGCAGAAATAAGCATTGTCATTACTGCAGAGATAAAATGGTAACACCTGATGAATTACTAATAGTATTACTCTAGACAAAATGCAACATGAAATACTAACACGTGATTAACAAATAATGACATGAGAATACTAAGTTACTAAAATGCTCTCTTTAAAAATTTGCATATATTTGCTAATATTTTGATGTTGTTGTTATTTTAAAGCCAGGGTGTGACTACGTAGCTCAGGCTGTCCTAGAACTCACTATGTATATCATATTGGCTTCAAACTAGAGACCTGTCCCCACCCCTGATCCTCAATTGCTGGAATCAAAGGAATGCACTACCACCCCTGTTTTTTCATATTTTTTATAATGATGAATCTATTATAATTAAATTTATGATGCATTCAAATAAAGATGATGCATATGAGATAG